GCCCTCATATTGCTAAGGACATTCACCTAACAATTGAGTAATGTGGACGATAAAGTGTACTCTGCTTTAAATGTAATAGAAAATACAATTGATAATAGTAAATATCAAATTTTAAGTCAAAGTAAAATAATAAATTATCTTTTATAAAGTATTATTATATTTTTTTGTAATAATTTTTTTATTTAAATAATCTGTATAATCACATTTTTTACATTGTATATACATAATATATACTAAGTACATAATAATTAAAAACTTTAATACATACATACATTTTTAAAACTCTTTAAGTCGAATTTTTTTTCTAAAACCTTGATAACTCGAAAACCTTAGTAAGTCGAAAACCTTGATAAGTCGAAAAAATTGCATTTCCCTTGAATTTCGACTTATCGAGGTTCCACTGTATATATAAATATCTGATCCCGTGCACATCGTTTCCCGTTAAAATTGCCAACTCTATATGAATAATATGTTTTACATATCACCATTTACCATGGCAACCATTTATATACAAAACATTCCATCGGAAATTTCAAAATAATATATATAAATATATATGGTTACCATGGTAATATGGACACACACACACACACACACATACATTCATTTTTATATATATAGATAATAATGCGGAATACACCTCAACCTAATACATATATGTTTGACCACCACTGTATGGTTATGATGATAATATTTTTGTCCACGCCGAATTCGATTTTTGGGGGGGGGGGGGGGATTTTTGCCACTATTCCTCTCTGATCAATTTTCGGCATATATTATTATATTATGTATATTGTATACCTATTAGCTTATACTGTAATGACAATATGGTGTCGTTATAATGCGTTCATACGTTGTATTTCGGTACTGAAGTGTGATTGACGGATCACTAATTCCGATAGATATTTTCAGGATCTCCTGGGCAGAGTTGATAAGCTGCATTCATTTCGAAATACTCGCCGGATTAAATCCATTTGACTGTTTTAATCACGCCTCGTGTCAAGGTTTTCACATTTATGAAGGTTTTTTTGTATATTTTTTTATTTATATGAGGACGTTATCACTTTTAAATTATTGAGCTTACACAGCTCTACCACATAATCTGAAAATGTTGATAAATACGTCATCATTGACCTTTTTTCTAAACTATGTATATGCATTATTATAAAGGCAAATTTGACAAAACTCTATTATAATATTATTTAATTCCAAAAATCAAATATATATATGTAGTATCACTGTAAATACTATGTATTTTTGATTTCAATTCAATAGTAAATATCGAATTTTTACGAAATACAATAGATGCCCACGTACATTCAAAAAAACAATAAACTCTACACAATATTGATGCTTAATGATCAAGCAATAATATTGTAATAATATATTTTTACAAGTATCATAGTAAGAATTTAAATAATATAACATAATAATATGGAACGCCCCCTGAACAAATACATTTTTCTGTTTAAAATCTAATTTTGAAGTAATAAACAGATAATTTTACATTTTTTTTTAATAATTTATAACTCTTTTTAATCCGTATGTCGATTGGAATGCAAAAATAGTTTATTAGTAATTTTAGTTATATGATTAAATCGTTAAATTTGGATGATATTCATCGACGACATTTTTATTTGTACCAATACTGCACATTTATGGCTTTGTGGTTAACCGAAAAGTTATTTCATCTATTATCAAGTATTTTGACAAAACAATTACTTCAAACTATTTTCATAACCCTAGCAAGAAGAAGTATGTTTTGCTTTCCGAAATCACCCTTTAGTGCAAGTGTCCAACTTCAAAACATGACAATAATTGACGGTTCATACCAATGATTAATTGAGTTTGTTATGAAAGTTTCTTTTGGCATTTAAGTAATTGGTAAGTGAAAAATAGGGTCTTTTTTTTATGGTTTATTGATTTTATGTTGTTGTATTGTGTTTAACCATTGACACTGCACCAACGAAAAACTAACAGATTCTTGATATATTATACAATATAATAATGACTAATAAAGTAAAAAATGTATACAGCATTCTTTTAAAATAATTGTTGAATAATACAATGTTACCAAGACTTGAGAATTTCATAATAATATTTCGGTTTCTAATATTGCATTTTTTGGTATTATGGATAACGCGTGTGGTTTATTAATTGTTTTATATTATATCTCATACACTGAATATTACTTTTTACTAGATGTAGTTTTTTTTTGTTTTTTTTTCTCGATAATAAGCGAGTTTCAAGTTCATTTTTTTAGAATAAACCCAAAATATACTGATATTCTTATGTGTATCTAAAAATATCAAAATGCATTATACAACGTAGAAAATAAACTTTCAAACGGACAAAATTTGAAAGGACAAAGAACAATATTTTGGACAATTGTTCGCTATGGCCATAAATCATGAGTGAACACATAATATTTCGTCACTGGAAAACATTCGTGTAAAGCTTAAGAAAAAGAAAAAAAAACCGAAAGACGGTGAAAGTGTTGTGCAAATGGAATAAAGTGTCAAATAAAAGTTTCCGGAGACCATAAATCATTCCACCCTAAGCCCATAGTGTTGTATTGTGCATATAATTGTTTAAAACATAGAAAACTGAAAGCTTATTTAAATCCTTGATATTACTGATCGTCCATGTAAGTAAAATATAATAATACTTTTGACACAGACAGCGGTATTATAATGATTCCAACTGAATTCCATCCCAAATTTAGAGGTAATTGTTTTCTTGTAAAAAATATAAAAAACATGTTTAAAATATTATATTTTTTTTAGGATTTATCATAACTATAAATTCGTTTAAACCTAACGTTTATTATCAAGTAAGAGACAGTAGAATATGTGATTTGAGAATAGTTATGCTAAATAAGACATATAAATTATAACGTTCACGAAAGATCGATTTTCTATTTAAAAAAAAAAAACATTATTAAATATTTTAGTAAATCGTATTAGTCACCTACCTACTTCAAAACGAGATTTTTTCTTATTCAACAATTTGTAACCAACTATTAAGGTATAGTTGTTAGGTATATATTTGTTATAACGTGATTCATATAGTATTGCATATAAATATAGATTAATACGCCTTTACTATATTATTTTCTAATATTTGATTCATATTAATTTTGTATAGTTTTGCAGTTGTATTGGTCATTGAGTATTTGGGTTAAATATGAACATAATAATATATTATAATAATTATATAACCCAATAAGTATCATGTATTATACATAATATAGACTAATTGATACAAAGTAAATAGATATTTTAAATGAGTTTATTATTAAAAATATATTTCCTTTTGATGCTGTATTAATACAACTAATTTGCTACGTTACTTATAATAAAGTCGTTGCGACAATACTGCTGTTTTGGGTTGTATCTTTAAAGTTTATATTGCTCAACTTAAATCTTTAAACAGAGGTTGATTCTGGTTAGTAGAAATGAAATTGGTCCATTGTGAATTTAAATGACAACTATAGTTCCCTCTCTCATAAAACTTAATGTCTATACTAATGTAAATATTTTCGTTTTATACCGTCATTTTCAGTGGCCATTATTATTTCATATTTGAGCTTAATTTGAAATTATTAAATCACGCAATGAACAACTACTTGGCGGTATGCTTTGCCATTTGTTGAAAGAAATTAATCGTGTTTTGGTGAATCATGAAAAATACTTTTGTACTTTTAAATTAGGTTATACATTCCGCAGAGGAATATTATTATAAATTGTCGGTCTTGTGTAATTAATAACACTACAAAAACGATCATCTTTTAGTATTCATCGTGTTATTAAAAAAGTTGTCCGTTCGTTACGTACATACAAATTTTGTTTGTGATTACATAATTGTATTCAGATTTAAAATAGCTGGTTCGTAAATGCATTTTGAACAACGCATTATAATCAATGTTAATAGAATTATTTTCTTGAAACGTTGTTTGTGTGCTCTTCAAACGAATGAATATTATTCTTTACAATATAGGCTCGACTATGATTATTATAATACGCAATGTGGACTTAAAAATATTTTTAAAGCAATTTGCACATCTCATTAACATAAAACCGGACAATTTGTCTTTGCCAAATTATCGTTGTAGTTGTCGTGGCACTTTTTTAAGATTTGTCATGAGCGGAAAGTATTTTTGGTATATGTTTATTCGACGATATGCAAGTTCGAATTTGCACGTGATTCACTTAAAAGTTTTCATTGCTATTATGGCGGAAACCGATAAGTTTTTTCTACACAATATGCTTTAAGTTTTCACACAATTATTTATCCGGGGGGCACTTTAAATCCTATCAAATCGTTTTCGTTCCGAAGCAGCTCACTGCAGACAGACTTGGACTATAAACGCGTAAATAATTTTATATTCGAATTGAATTTCAAATAAAATGACGTATCATCATCTGTGGAGAGACTGACGAGCCGATATATGACACACAATCATACGTATTAATATATGCTGCACGTTTGTAATGGGAAACGGTGGCGTTTTAATCATTAGACGCATATCCTATAAACGCTGCAGCGTTTTTGCCACCTAAATAATATATATTGTATACGTTATATTACAGTGTACGTACCCACAGTAAACAATGGCGTATTTTGAACCTCATTTTGCCGACAAAGAACTGGGAAATAGAAATGAAGACTTTTAGATAAATCGATCACGTAGTGCTCCCGAGACGGAATATTAAACAATCGAACTCCACGTTTCTTCTATTCCTTTTAATTAAACATTTGATTTCGTCTCTGCGCAAGAATCACGTCAGGTCATATTGTCTGTACAATATTAATATATTATCTGCAGCGGGCATACTATAATAATTTATCGTCGGTATACCTACCGACGGCTATGAGTATTATTCATGAGTACCTAGCTAGTTAAATTTTTCTCCCGGAAAAAAATTGTCTCGTCCTTTCTACAAAAAAAAATGTGTACTCAGTTATTATAATATTATTTTCGTTGTGTTTTGCTTCAGGGATGATATTGCGGACGACTACCGTTGCACCAACTACATCCACGACGACCGCCGCCACCACTACCACGACCACAACGACGTTACCGTCTACCACAAGATTGGTAGCCACCTCGACAGGTAAATTTGATATCATTGTATTTAACTACGTTAGATTGTGTCACGAACCTATTCGAATAATAATATAATAATAATATGGATGGGATTATATCGATTATAATAGTCCTTCGAAAGAGGAGTAAAATGATTAAAAGTTAACAGTTATCTCTACAGTTTTACTATTTTAAATTGATAAAAGATGATTATGTAGCTATAGAATCCGTTTAATAAACTTATATAATTTATGTATATAACTTACTATAATACATAGTTATATAATTAATTATATATTTTGGCCCAACATAATTTACATACAGATTTAAATTTTCTGAACATTTTTTACAAAAATTGAAAATTAAAAAAAATATTATCAACTATTAACTTCAACATATTTGTACATTATTTTTTACCCTCTATTTAGCAACAGCGACAACTTTCCAAGAGTTTTCAGAAAATTATTTATTAAACAGCTACATCAAACTAGCTCGTTTACATAATAAATATTAATATACGTATATAACTATACGCTCAAAAATAGTCAATATACCTATCACTTTTAATATTTTTAATATGTTTTTAAATATATATTCTGTATTGACTAATTATTAATAAATACATATTATCCGTAAACAAGTAAATTGATAATACGATGAACGTAGAATTTTAGTTGATATAATTATATTATAGTAGAGAGCCAATTAAAAAATCTTTTACAGTTAAACTAAATAGATAAAATTATATTTTTTTAACCATGGTATCCCTACATTACGCTACAATAATACAAATATAATAATTATTATGTTTCAATTTAATAATTTAAATCATATGATGCTATAGTTGTTTTACAAAATACATTTTTGAAGATTTTTCGTAAAATATTTATTTTACTATCAAGGTTTTAAGTTTCTAGGTTTGAAGGTATAACAATGCGAATGGAAATTACTCCATGGTAGATAATATAATATGTTCATTTCTAATAAAGTCTCTTAAATCATAATATAAAATAATCACAAAGGTGATGAACAGTTATTAATAACGAATTAAGTTAAAAACTTTTTTTTTTTTTAAACTAAAACCATATGAAAATATGTTTTATTAGTTCTATCTTAATATTAATTTGTTTTGTATTTAGTATTTTTAATTTTACAGTTGCCTAAAAGCACGAGCTTAATTTCATAATTCCAACACAATTTGGAAATATTTTGTACAAATTAGTAAGATAAAAAAAAAAAAAATGTAATAAAAACCTTTCTAACTGAATTCTTGTATACATTTTATGGTAATTTATATTAAAGGCAAACGACATTAACAAACGATATCTCGCGTAGCTTGTAAATTTAACGATAAATTCATTTATAACATTCCATTTGTGGCACACCCTTCATTGACATATCTATATACGTATAAATTGCATAGTACAGTGTTAACTTTGTATACTATAATTTATTCTGTGTTGGAAACAAAAAATATGCAGTCTGTATGAGTGACTAGAAACGACATCAGTTTTACTGATGACCATTTAGAACGACGAACAATAATATTTGCAACTATTATTTAGGTACCAGTAAATAATAATAATCAATTGTTTCTATAATTTTGTTTGTTTATACAAAGAGCAAACGTTTGTAACTAGAAAATAATAATAATATGTCCGTTAGGGTTCGGTTGCATAGTAAACGATTTTACACTATAATTAAATTCCGAGCAATTTCCGAAAAAATATGTTCAAAAATCCGTAGTAACAATAGTTATATGATACTATTTTGTGTGTAAGTACTATTTTCATTTAATTGTGTTATATTCATTATCGTATGTTGGACATAATATAATTTTTGGACGAGCGTTAGCATTATCAATGGCTCATTATTATCAATATAAATACCCAATATTATATAATCAGTGTTATTTTATCAATTAAGTGTAATATTATACAAAGTACAATTTTATTAATATTAGTAATTTTTAAAACTGTTTAAATATAATTATATAATATATATATATACACTATCTGACCCCGTGCACTTCGTTTCCCGTTTTGAAATTGCCAACTCTCGTTATTTAATATTCGGTGTAGGTACCTATAATGATGGTGTTCAAAACATAAAAATGTCCATCGATAATTTTTAATCTAGAAATACTTGTGCAAGCACCACTTCAAATTGCAAATTTCTGAAAAATGCTTTCTTAGTGCACACTTACGTGGTGGTATACAGAGGTACCGAGAAAATTGCAAGCCCCAAACTATGGTCGTTTAGGCTCTACGTCGATCGGTCAGCGAGTCAGTCTGGACACGTTCAATTATGTTAAATTATAGCCATTGCGTTGCCCGTGAGACTTGCTTGTAATTATGCAAACAGTATATATTAACAGGTAAGCAATCCATCTGTGGTGGATTTCTCACCCCACGGGGTGCGACGTTAGTGTATATATTATATATATATACAGAAGACAGCCCCACCTCCGTGCATTTCGTTGCCCATAAAAAATGCCACCCCTTGTATTATGATTCAAACTTTGTATTGTATTATCGTTACTTAATAAAGTGTAGTGATGTTCAAATATTAAAAAAAAAACAAAGATTTAAGATTAACTTTGTAGTTTTTTTTTTTTTATAATTAACACTCATTAATCATAACATTTAACATTTTTTTTGCCCGTAGAACTGGGTTTTGTTTTCCAAAGATTAGGATATGTGTCCCCCGAATCGCTGACTTTTTTTAAAATCTAATAATAACTGATATCATTATAGTAAGTTAGGTAGTACATTGTTTTGAATTATATCCAACCATCATAATAGGTATATTGAAATAGACAGTTTTTCTGTTAATTAATGTCCACTGATTTATCCCATCTTGATCTCCATTAAAATTGTTTAATACAGTAATTTTGATAGTTATTTCTAGATACAAAAATATATCCAATCATAATAACTTTTTAATTTTTTGTAAACAATAGGTTTCCTATATTAAACAAAAATATAGTGTTAGTTCGTGAGCTAAATATATAAATAAAAACTAAGTGCAACTTATCGAGATAAAATATAGCCTATTGGGATAGTGTAGCTTTCTGACTGTAAAACAATTTTTAAAATTAGTGAAGTATAGTTCCAGAGATTACCTCGAAATAACAAACATTTTTTTCTTTATAATATTATATGTATAGACACATTTATTAATATAGATAATTAATAACAATAGGATTGTGGGACTTTTCAAATTATTTGTTTGTTTGCTTGATATTTGTATAATCTTATATTTAATAAGTCTTACATATTTAGAAAGACGATAAAATTAATCGTTGTATTATGATAGGTACTTAAAATAATTTGATTGATGAAATATTATAAATTTAAATATTTTTACTTTTTATTTAGGCGTATAAATGTATTTAATATTTTAAAAAATTGTTCTCGTCATCTATAATTTATATTTAGATCACCTAATGGTTGCGAAAACTATAATTTATTGAATTAAATTATTTGTTTTTGAATATTTTCCTTTGAAGAATATTATTTTGAAAATGCACTGCATTTTCTATTGTTATCACGGAAAAAATACACAGCTATTTTTAAAACTATCTTTCATTTTCAAATTTCAGTTTTTGAACTTCATAATATGATAGTTTGATAAAATATTACACGCTATCATTGGTAGACAAATAATATAACACGCCAGGGCTTTAAAAATAATTATTTACCTTAGTAATACATCGGATAAAAAAAACCATTTATCAAAAAAATGAGGATGTATATTATATCTATTTATTACGATAACAATTTATTTAAAATGTGTACATTAGGAGTGTTTTTTAATAAGTTCATCTTCAAAAATTAAAAAATATATAATGTATAAAAGGCAATCGAAATATACAATTTATTTATAATTTGTATCATATAGAATCATAAATTATTATGATTCTAACTTGCCATATTAAACTAAAGCCTTTGTTGAACCAATAAAACTATAAGTTTATAACAACTTTCAAACAAAACTAGTTGAAAAACATAAAAAAAAAAATTGAACAGGAACGCTAAAAAATGACTTGGAGTGCGTGCAAATAATAATATTACCAAAAGATATTACCTTCCTACTTAAACTATCAATATTTTTTTTTTTTTTTTTTTGATATAATTGAATTATTTTTTTAACAACATACTTTGAATCAAATAAAATTTAAATTTGGTATCTATAATTAATAATTCACCATGCATGCTGATTCTATAAGTTGTATGCTTTTGTATATTAAACTTCGTTTTTATTTTGAAATCAAATCTTCGAAATTATTGGTAAAATAATATTTTTGTTTATATTTTGATTAGTATTAAATATATATTATATAAACATATATATATATATAAATATATTCTAATATAAATCACGGGGTTATGAGTTTTATTTTATTGGCTACTTAAAGTTAACCTAAAATAGTAATTTGATGAACTATAGGTACAATAAATTGTTAATTAAAAATTATATTAATACTAAAGAAGTGACAATTTATCAGAGTTGTTTGAAATATTATAATTAACAATTTTATTATAATTATCTATAACGTATAGTGTATAGTATAAAGTAGCGAGTAGTGCATTCAAATATATTTAAATTATTAAATAATATTTCACAGTGTTATTCTAAACTGTTGATGGGTTTTAAAAAGAAAAATTAATGTTATTAATTCTACCAAATAAATACAAAAAAAAAAAAATCAATAAAATTCTATTAGTTATAATAAACATCATATAGCGCTATTTAGTGGTATAAGTAGTGTTTGAAAATTTCATGAAATTTAAAAAAATGAAATATTTCGTGAAATATTTCATGAAATATTTCAAAATATGTGAAATATTTCAGTATTTTAATATATTTTGTTTTATTTTTAAATAAGTTTTATATTTACATATAATTGTCATAAATTACCTTCATCACTATATGGTACCTGTATGTATACCTAACCTTTGGTATTATACATTTAAATTGGTATTCAAAATTTTTAAATATTTTAATGTTTAAATGATACAAGTAGGTATACAATATTATACATGTATATTGTATACTTACTGAATTCTGACATTAGAATTTAGAATACTGAACATTGTGTTAAAAAAATAAATAAATTGTGTTTTTATTTGTGTTAAAAAAATTTCAATGTTTCACGTTTTTGTGAAATATTTCACAACTTAGTGAAATATTTCAAAATGAAATATTTCATTTGAAATATTTCATGAAATATTTCTCATACTTCAAACACTAGGTATAAGGGTCAATTGATATTTATAATTTTTCAAACACAGGTGTATGGAATCGTGAAGTTATTTCTTTAAAATGATTAACAAGTCTTATAAAAGATTTTATTGAATTTTTTTTTTCAGTGATGCCGTCACCAGCAACAAAATGGAAGAGCCATACAATATCTGGTAAAGTTGAACTATAAATATTTAAACAGTAATTATCTCTTTGAATAAAATTAATTGAATTGCAAGTCTAATAATTTTTAGTTGATTAGAGAAAACTTTTTTTGTTTATCCAAACATCAAAGAAATTATTATATACAACTTTATCACTTTTACTTATAAATATGTAGATTATATTCACAATTTTTAAGGTTGGGTAAAATTTCTTACGAATTATTCAATGATTTAGTAAGAGTTGCATAATTATAATATGTTTTAATTAAATCGATTACTTAAATTTGTTGAACTATAGTTTTAATAATTTATTATGAAGAAAAGCTTCATCAAATTGAAAATCATAATACACAGTGGTTGTATATTATTATTTCCAATCTTGTAAAATGGAAATAGTAACAAAAGAAAACCTGGGAAATCGCTTAGACAGTATAATACGTCCAAAGTGTACATCGTCATTGCATTTAGTAGAACACCGTAATGGAAGTATTAAATTTGAATTAAATGATTAATTATTGTATACGTATGAAACAATGACTAAAGACTATCGATATTGTTATTATCAACAAAAATACAGTCATTTGTGGCAGAAAGAGCGAACCAGTTGTGCTAGAGGAAATTTCTTTTTTTTTTGTCCACGTTTGCCACAGGTGGTGAATCGGGGAGAAGAGGACAAAGACAAGGGACAATTAATTCCATTATTATTTAAATTGTATTTCTTTGTAGTGATAACTTAATTATTTACGATCCTAATTGGGGACACGGTACCAGTTGGAATTACGCAGGTATTATGTTATTATCTATACAGTCCAATGGTCTCCTAGCCTGATGGTGCCTGTGGTCTGTTGCAAGCTTATAAATCACTGTACAAAATTGTATAATATGACGCAATGCGTTTTATGATAATGAAAATAAAATATATAATGTTGCTCAGCTGATTTGGAGGAGGTCGAGCTTTGGTAGAGAGAACTAGGTAATTCTTCGATAGCCACATAGGCGTAATTTGGGTTAAATGTATGGGGGTGCTAGTATTATGTCGACTTAAGTGATCAATTGAGGGCTTCCCCCTCCATTCATACACCTTAATTTTATACGCCTTCCCATTAATCTTAATATGAACAATTACCTATAACACATTACATATTATTATTATCTATATTATTCTTCTGATAGGTATCTATGTATTAAAATTAATATTAAAATGATGAGGTGTTAGAAATAAATGTGTCAAAACCCATGGCATAATATTATAGTCAATAAAAGTTCGATGATGCCATCAAAAATATTGGGGGGGCTTAGCACTCCCAGGCACCCCCTCAAAATGAGACTATATCGATAGGTAGACATAGGTTCGGAATAGAGGTACAACAGGACATAGATCAAGAGTGGCGTAAAACTCGTGTGCACAATCGAATGGTCTGCGTTGAACTGTAGATAGGTACCGAATTATTATTATTACTATAATATATACAGGGTGATTTTTTTATCGAAGAACACTCATTATTTCTGAAAGTATAGACATTTTACCAAAATTTTTTTTCTAAAAATTTTAGTTGCATACTTTTCTACATTTGTATAACACTTTAATTTTTTTCACCCTTATATTTATTGGTGAAACTATTATCAACTTTTGATTTTCAAATGGCAACCCATAATAAAAATCTTATAAAACAATAAAACAATTTTTTTTATGAATTATAACGTTAAATTTTTTATTTTATGTTAATCCATTAGCGAGATACAGTGCCTCAAAGTTTGGTGGTTTCTCATAAGTAACTGTGCTACTGTTTATAAGTACATAGTATTTTTCGTTCGTAAAGACCAGAAGTTATAACTAATAAATACGATATCGTTCAAAGTTCAACCCAGGGTTTTTATACCTGCTATTATCTAATACAAAATTATGGACTGGAAATGGTGACCAAAAATGTCATGTACATATTATGGTGGGGGTATCCATACGATTACAGCGTTATCTAGTTATCCCATATACCTGTCCTTTATCTTAATTCGTCAGTGGTATAAGATGGTATAAGAGTGGTAATATGAGTTGGATAAGATCATAGAACAATAATTATATGTATTGAAGCGAAACTCGATCAGCTGATGGGTGAAGTGTTTACATAGATATTAAACATTATTTTAGTTAAATATATCAATGAGTGTTTACCTATGATCTGAAGTCCGAACATTGAAACTGTTTCCGTACACCAACTTGATGTTATACCCGTATTTAAAAACTGTTTCCGCCTAATTGGCAGGGTATTCGGCGCGGGGTCGGGTTATTTCCATTGTTTAATACTTTAATATGATATGATATATTTAATTGATAACGTATGCCACGCCCCCTGGATACGTGATAAGATGGTCTATGATTATTACAAATTTGAAATTAAAATATTTACGTTATTAAGTTATTACTTATTATCATTTACGTGTCTTCGTGGTAGGTATGATATTGGTTATTGACTATAATTGTCATTGTCAATGGTTATTCAGTTATTAACTGAAGTTAACTAAGTTACTTAATTATTTTTTTTCAATTAAATTAAAAATTGAGTTAATAGTGATAAGTGTTAGTCACTTGAATAAAATTGTAATTAATAGTCATAGGTATATTATTACTATTCCAATCATTATTGTACTATTGGAAAATAAGGAATAAGTACTAACTAATGAGTAGGTATTATTATTTATGGAAATAATCCGTGGCCATAATTTATTTCAAACAATTTACTGTCATAGTGGCCCAGTTTTTACATAATTGATACATGTATAATTTTCTACACTTAAAATAATTCTGGTTAAAATCAATGTTTCTTAATGCATAAATCTATTTCTGTAGCTAATATATTTTTTTTTTTTGCATATTTGAGTAAAATTCAATTTAAGTTCCACATTTTGCAGATAGTTACAATATTGATTACAATTTACAAGTAGCATATTTTATAAACATCAAATAAAATAATTTAAATTTTGCTCAGTACAATTAACACAATCATAAATTTATAATTCTCTACATTAATGACATTTCCATTTGTACATAATAAATACTTTATACAATTTTCAAAGTATTTTTATGCATGAAAATATTCGCATTCAATACATTTTTGATACATAAATATGTTCATATTCTAGAATAATTTTTGGACAAAATCAGGCACTATAGTACGGCCAGCGAAAAATCAGCAGCGATACCAATGCTCCTGGTACCCAATTTCGTCAGGGCTTCTACAACTATTTGCCACGTAAATTAATTTCAAATAGAAGTCATACTGATTTGGTCATGGATCCTTATCATATAGTCAGTGCTACTATGAAAATATTTAAAAAAACATGTTGTAGTAAATTTTATTCAAGGCCTAAAGGGGTTTGAAAAATCGTAAAATAAAATGTAGGGACACCAATAGTTTCAAACGGAGAACCCCTGATTACGCTAAAATACACTACTAGTAATGTTGCCGTCGTGGCTCATTTTTCGCTAGCTGTACTATAGTCATGAATGTACCTTTAAATTATTATTATAATTAACCACTATATAATTTTAACCATCATTTTAAAGTCCAGGACCATGAAAAATCTATTTCAAATTTGATGATACAGTTAAATCTAAATATTCGTAGTGCAATTATGCAAAATATGAGTAAAGATTAACATGTATTCAAAAAATGAGAAAAAAATCTCCACAACCCCCAGACTTAAAACAATAGTAAAATTTAAAAGTGGCCCTTATAATATTATTCAAACGTGAATTTATTACTTCAGTAGTAATAGCTATAAATAGGCAACAACACCAATCATCTACAGAAATAATATAAGTTATTTACATTTTACTAAGCAATAAAATATAATTTAAAGTAAAAATATATTTCTTTTATTATTTAATATTGAAAAGCATATTATTTATTAGTAATTTGTATTAATTTAAATATACTTTATTTGAATTACACAATCTACATATTATGTATATTATGTATGATGTATCAAACGTAAGTACACAGCATACAAATATACAGTATATTATTATGTACATACATATCTTTTGAGTCTTAATGATTGATGTTGTCACCTCGTTTAAATACATTATTAAAAAATATTATGAAATTATAAAACAAACATTATACAATTATTAGTATTCAATACATATTATTGGTTATATGCAGTTAGGCCATCTAAATTGTTGTCCACTTCTTTCAAATTAACTTGATCATCTAAAAAAACAGTTTTTCAATACTATTAAATAACATTATAGTTAAAGATTTATACCAACATACTTAATTTATTTTGTAGTTTGTTGAAATATTAAAATCCAATATGTGACGCAATATTGTTATTTATTACTGTTATCATTTGCAAATGTAATTGAAGATAGCAATATGAATATAATTTTAATATACATACAGGATCATCCAAATGGTATGTTATAGTAGAGTTCATGATTGGTAATAGTTTTCCTCTTGATTGTTGGTCCAAATATTTTTTTTTACACTTCTTTCAAAATTACTTGATAGGTATCTGAAAAAAGTACAATAAAAACTATTCGTTTGAATACCAAATTGAATAATATTTCACTTAAAATAAGTAAGTACAAAGTATACTAACCATATTTTTAATTTTGTTGCCTGTTGAAATATTAAAATCCAATATTAGCTAATGTATAATGTATCAACTTATGAACATTAGCAACATTTTTAGTTTTCAATACATATCATTGGTCCTAATATGCAGTTAGTTCTTTTTTTTTCAATTTTCTTGATTACCTATCTAAAATATAGTTTGTCAATACAATGCATAATTAAATAATATTACACTTAAAAATATTTTATAACCTTGTAATATAACTTCAAGACTTTATAAGGTTATAAATGTTATAATATGAAACATTTCATCCAAAAAACTATGGATGTACATTAGTATCTATTAAGTATGAGCAAGGTAATATTCAGTCAACATTTTATAAAAATTGTATTTACAAGTCAGGAGTTAAATTAAATTATGTAATCACTAAT